GCTCCTCTAGCTGCTTATTTGAGACATTGTAAGGTGGGTTGTCTGTGCATCCAGGTGAGATCCAGTGTGAGTCATGTGACAAAATGATGACTGCGTTTGTCCAGAAGAGAAACATGGACACTTTCAGTGGACCTGTTTTCATATTCAGTCTCCTTTCTGAGTCTTTGTGACTGACTGTTGTATCATGAACTTCCCTGAGTGCTGGTACTGATACGTGAGGAGTGAAACACTTTGTGCTTTCCACAGACCTGAAACTGTCTCTGGGTCTGTGGTTGATTAACATGCTGTGATGGATGATGCTGCTGTTCCTCTCTGTGAAGCTTCAGTGTAAAAACAGTTCACAGCTGGGTGGGAGGAGGCAGCGTTCAATGTAGTGACAAACGTATTCGCTGTACAATTGAAAATAAAATGAAACAATAAAAAAGTTGCTGCTGTTCATGGAAACTTTATCAAAAAGGAGAAAAGTGGACACAGAGTGTCGAGTAGTTCAAGAAGAGCAGCTCCTGTTTATCCACCTGTGTGTTTGCTGTGTTCACGTTTCAATATTCATCAGCACTCTGAGACAATCCTAGTGAACAGTACAAGAAGCACAGCTGACTACACAGAAGATAAAGGAGGGGTTGGTAGGTTTGAGGAAACAACCGTCTCTTTTTACTCAGCAGTGGAAGCTGGTCACCTTAGTGAAGGGAAAGTTTTCAAAGCCAAACTTTGAACCCGGCTGCACGTGTCCTTATCAGCCCAATAAGAAGCTCTGACACAGGACTGAGGATCCACCAAAGAAAGCTGTCATTTGTTGCACCTGAGGTTGCCATGGGAGCACAGATATTTGACCCCTGATGTTGATTCATGTGTAAAGGTGCAGATAAATCATTGGTTGATTGTTTCTTTGAAACATTAACACAATCAGAAAACTTTATTAATCGCTGAGGAAATGATGTGGTTACAGTAACAGACTCAGGTAGTTAAATAATACAAGAGTTTACACATTTAACAAATAGCACTGATATATACAAATCACTCTATTATAAATATGAAGAATATTATAGAGTGGCCACATAATAACTAGTTCAGTTTTTTGTTAAAGCAACATTTTTCTCACATCCAACCAGCTTCCTTCTTTCTTCAGCCAAAGTGTAAAGCCCCGCTCTGTGGTTGGTGGAACGAGCCAGAAACATTATCATCACATGCTAATTTCATTTAGTTTCATAAAAGACCTGCAGACTAATATGTTGTATTCACAT